AAGAGTGAATGGTTTCCATGTTTTCTGACTCCTGAGAATCCAAATAACTTGGATATATAAACGTTAAATAACCCTGAAAGCCAAGTGGCCAAGAAATGCCCCTTCAAAGGAGACTGTTCCAGCCAGGAGGGTCTTGTGCCCTAACGCAAGGAAACAGGACACTGAGCTCCAGAAAGCTGATAGGGTATCCCTTCATTATTAATGGGCAGAGGCTTCTTAGCCATCGCTGTGCTTGTTCTGATCATGTCACATCGTAGAGTTTATTCTTAGTCTTAGCCACAGCCTTATAAATAATAAAATGGGTCATGTTTTATCTTACCCCAGTGATCATTGTAATGCGGCTTTTATCTGAGACTCTGCCAAGCTCTTGACAGAGGCAACATTTAGAAGTAGATAAAATGATTGAAGAGCAGAGTACAAAAGTAGGCTCAGCTCTTCCCCAAAACACACGCTTACCAAGAGTGAACGCAGTGGGTTTGCAGTGTATGCGCTGCTTTGGGAGGGAAGAAATGAGAGAAAATTGGAAAACTGAGGATGCAGCATGTCTGTCCACTTCGGATGGGCTGGGCTAGCACATCTGATGTCTGTTAATTCTGGAAGTGCTTTGCTTAAAGCTGGTACTGAAAAACAGGGCTTTTGTGGAAGCGATAAGGTCTATGTGCACAGGTCCTGTGGTTAACAGCCTTAGAGGCTGAAGTGGGGTAGGAGTGTGACACGTTACAGTTGAGGAGCTTGCAAGGTTAATTGCCAGAGCGATGCCGTTAGAGTCGTTCTGTGTGCTCCTCAGCAACGGCAAAGCCAAGGCATGGAGGTGATGACCTACCCGAAACTACAGAGGAACCTGCAGCAAAACTGCAAGTGGCTTCCAGGAACCCATCCATGGAGGCAGGCTTCCCACCCTGCTTCCTGAAGGAAGAGCATTTTTCTCCTGAAAACTTGGATATACATATATTCTTCGAGAATTAGAGAGGAAAACTCAGTTTGCCATAACACTGGGTTCCTGAAAACACATCAGAGACTGTTCTTACAGCCTTTCCAAAGGATTTTCCTG